GAGGATAGGTGTTACGTGGGTGAACCGAGGTGCACCCACGATCGCTCGCGCGGCTGCATTCTGGACAAGCTGGAGTCCATGTAGAGCACGTTGCAGTAATCCAGTCTAGAGGTCACAAGGGCGCGAGTGTCTTAAAGTTGCCAAGTTTGGGAACCACTGCCCTACTGTGATACTCACCGGGAAGCTGTACTGAAGCAGCAACAGTTTCTGCGTCATCACAAACTGAGCCTTCTTGTTTTTCACCACCAAATTCCCCAGCAACCGCGACAACACTGTGGGCCTAGTAAGGCAGACAAACACAATTACAGTGATCACATTCGGTTATGTTAATACTGGCATGTTTTTAGTCATTGCTGTATTCTGTGCTTCGCCAATCAAGAAAATGTTTTAGAAAGTGAACAGTCAAGAACATAAAACATACCAGAAGGATTGGAAAACGATCGACATAATCCATCTCCCATAAGACAGGTTACTATTTTTCTACAGTGCAGATTCCAATGTGAAGCTGTAAGATGGTTGGGGTTTTCCTCAGTATATTTTGTGAGCCGAGGCACACATGACCAGCAACCAGGAGAACTGAAGAGCAATTAAAACTCTTCTCTGTTGTATTGAAAACTAGTAGTATTTGAAACTAAGCCATTAGATTTTAGAGCGGCTGATTTTTATCCCACCTTTATTGCTTTATAATTAACTCAAGGAAATGAACACACCTAAAACTCCCTCTTCCACCTATTTTCCACAATATGGGAACCTTGGAAGGTGAGTTGGACTGACAAGCCCAAAGTCACTAAGATGGCATTTAAAGCGAGACTAGAACTCAGTCTCCTGGTTGGTAAGACAGCACCTTCACCAATACATCAAACAGGCTTTCAGACACAGTATTGCCCCATGATTAACAGAGTTGAAAGGGACCCTTGTAGGTCATCTAGTCCAACCCCATGCCCAAACAGGAGACCATACATCATTTCTGACAGATGGCAGTCCTGCCTCTTCTTAAAAGCCTCCAGGGATGAAGCTCCCACAACTTCTGATGGCAAGCTGTTGATTGTTCTCACTGTCAGAAAATTCCTCCTTATTTCTAGGTTGAATCTCTCCTTGATCAGTTTCCATCCATTATTCCTGGTCTGGCCTTCGGGTGCTTTGGAGAATAGCTTGAGCCTCTCCTCTCTGTGGCAGCCTCTCAAATATTGGAAGACTGCTATCCTGTCTCCCTTGATCCTTCTCTCCACTAGACTAGCCATGCCCAGTTCCTGCAACCATTCGTCATATGTTTTAGTCTCCAGTCCCCTAATCAGCTTTGTTGTCCCATAATCATCTAGTCCAATCCCCCACCCAAGCAGGAAACTCTACACCATTTCTGACAGATGGGCAGTCCTGTCTCTTCTTGAAAGACTCCAGGGATGAAGCTCAGTCAACTTCTGAAAGCAACTTCTGTTCCATGGGTTGATTGCTCCCACTGTCAGAAAATTCCTCCTTATTTCCAGGTTGAATCTCTCCTTGA